GGTTAGCCGAGAATAGAGACCAGACAATAGATGCATATTCAAGCTTGGATCTAACCAAGCTATTAAACAGGATTTTCAGCGTACGAGTGGAAGAAAAGTCTCTAACAGACCGGCTAACAAATCAAAGCATCCTCATAGCAGAACCTGTTAATTGAGAAATAGGCGAGGCAAAACTCAATTTCTGGTCAAAACGAACACCCAAATCCAGAAATGTAGTGACTTTGGATAACGGAGAGACACCAATCTAATATATATGTTCGATCATAACAGGTTTCAAGGAGTAAGACATGACGCTACATTTGGACACATTAAAGGAAAGTTGCATCCTTGCACTCCACGCAGTTTTATCATCAAGAGACCGCTTAAGATGAAGTCATCAAGAGAGGTTACCCCACAGACTAGCTTCATGTCGCCCACATACAAAAAAGCATTTACCTCAACAGCAGCAACAATGTCATTTGTAAACAAGTTGAACAACAAAAGTCCTAAAACACTGGCCTGTAGCACACCCGACGTTGCCACAAAAGGCAGAGAGGTCTGACCACAACACTCCACTCTCAGGGATCTGCGTGATAGGCAGAAACGAATGAACATTGCAGTGTGATACGAGAAGTCAATATTGAGAAGACCTGATATGAGAGCTCCATGATCAAACACATCAAAAGCCTTGGGAAGATCCGTATATATTACATCAACTTGAGATCTACAATTTAATGCGTTCGAAATGAATTGAGTAATGGGAGATAATTTGGTAGCTGTGGATCTATCTTTAATAAAATCAGGTTAACTTACGGAGAATCTGTTCCTCAGGTGAATATAATCTAGGAGAGAATATCATTTAAAATGACCTCAAAACCTTTAGAGAAAGTACAAATAACTGACACCGGTCTATAAGTCTGTAATAAATTCTTGGATTAAAAAGGGTGCACTCTTTTTAAATAGCGGAAAATCTTAGCTGAATTTCATGGTTTAGGCCACGCATCCGAACGGAGGCAGCACGAATCATTTTGGTCAAAGGGACTGCAAATAAAATTGCACAATCTCTCAACACCGGTGGGACATTGTCAGGTCCCATAGGTCTGCAGTACCCATAGGTCTCAGTCTTGACAAAGACAGGACTTGATATGTACGAATCTCCCAAATTAAAAAAAAAACAAATAATTTCCATTCACAGGAACATTACCAGCATTAAACCTCTGAAGAGCATTCACAATGTCAGAGGGATCGGTGTAGGAAGCATCCCCATCCATAATAATGTCCGGAATCGTAGCAAAAGTTCTCCTGGGTTTGATCAGCTTCCAAAATGCCGCAGGATTCTCAGATGTATCACCCTGAATCCTGTCACAGTACCACGAGTTTGTGGGTTAAACTTTTGACTTAATTTGAACTTCTCGCTGGCTTTATAAAAAGATAATTTTGATAATTAATAAATGCCTTATGATGTTAGTAGGTACGGTGCTATTAAGATTTTAAACTATTCTTGTACGTTTACCGATGACAAATCGATTATTATTTATTATAGACATATAATATATAGAAGCCTAACCTTGAAATGTTAAGGCATAACAATGTCTGAAGTGCATGCAAGTTTACCTTCTTTGATGAGACTCGAGTTAAGTCAAGATCTCAACAGGATTAAATCTCAACCAATGACTAGATGATCACAAGCATATTTATTCTAATAAAAATGCGGCAGCCTGGAGAAAGTGGGACTTTCTGTAGTGAAAGCGCTGAAGTCATGCTCAGCTCAATATTGATAAAACATTCACCAATTCAGTCAGTTAGTGTTCTTGAGAATGTTGTTCTGTGAACGAAGCGTGTTCAAAAGAATATTTTCGAAATACTAGTAAAAAAATGTTATCAAAATGCCAAGTTCAAAAATAACTTGAATCTTTTCAACACGATTGGCACTGATTGAGATGTAACCTAATCAAATTTTTTAAACATTTGGTATCAGAAATGGGAAATGAAAGTTTAAACTTAACTGAAAGGATACTGCATTTATAAAAATATTTTTAAACCTAAAGTTACGCTACACGTACCTATTACTAAGTTTTCGGATGTATTTACGAATATGAATTCAATTAAGTATAAGCTCAGTGCTGTTGCAATATAAGCATGTTAAATAAAAAATACTTTTTATATGTAAAATCCGTTTTTAGTTCAAGTATGCTAACACTAAAGAATCGATCAATAAATCTAATTCAGAGCTACGTACAACGGCCATTAGGCGAAATCGGGTCACCGCAAATCTTCGAATTAAAGGAAATGGTCTTGTATTTTCTTGTCTTTGGCAAACTTAGCTCTTGTTTGGTCCATAAGACGTTAATCCGATATAGAACAAACATTTACTTTTTGCAGTGAAGTAAATAAAGATGTAAGTTAAAGTTAATTGTAGCAGAGTTAAATGTAATGGAAGTTTGCAGAATGAATTTGTTATACCTACATTTTACGGACATTATTTTAGAATGGCATTGCTTAAAATGATTACTTACCTGAAAATGATTACATAAATACTAAGGGGCGCGTAGCCCAATTATGTGGATATCGAACTTGGCCAGTTATTTAAATTATATTTAGGTTTAATTGTTTCTTCCTGGCTTGGTTGATTGCCAAAAATGCCTTGCATTTAGTGGTAGTTTCATTCATTTTTGTGATACTTGTATATCCTTAAAAGGACATATCGAAGAAACTTAGGCTGAAAAAAGGAACGAGCGTGCAAAATACTTCTTACTACCCTTCGCTTACCAACATGCTTAGAACTATAGAATTCAACACACTGGCTTATATGTGCTTCATAAATCTGCCCAATGCGTTTGATAGGGTGCGTCTAGACGACATCGTCAAGAGCTTTACAGAAAGGAATACACCAGAAACATTACAAAAATAATTCACAATCTAAATAGTAAACAACACAACAAAAGTAAAATTACAAAACCAAATATCAAATTGCATTCCAATACCAGGAGGAATCAGACAGGGGAAGAGTGTCAGTCCGTCTGTTATATATCCTCGTGGATACAATTATAGAAGCAGTTACATCCCTGAACCTAGGGTACAAAATTAACAACAAAAGCATCCCCATGATATGTTATGTCAAGGACTTAAGAAGCCAAATCAATGAAGCTGCATGGATCGCATGGGCAAATCAATACATTCGAACTGAGAGCAAAGTAAAAATATACAAAACATGCGTGAGACCCATTATGACGGGCATAGAGGCCGAAGGAGATACGGCATAAAGATACGGGAAGAAACAAATAAAACAAAGTGCATGCTGCGAGTAGCAGAGATGAAGACTCTAAGATCGATCGTGTGAAAAATCAGAAGAGACAGGGTGAGAAACACGGATATCCGGGAACAATGTGGAGTGCAGGACGTGGCGCGATGGGGAAGATAAAGAACGAGACAGTGGTACAGTCACGTAAAGGGGATGGACGAAAACCGTCTACCACGTATCGTGTTGGAGGAAAAACCAGTCGGTACTAGAACAGCGGGAAGACCACCTAAAAGATGGAAGGATAGCTGGCAATCAACATCCCACGAAATACTGCAGAGGCGTCCTCAAAATTAATAGATCCCAAGATATCGGAAAAGTATAAGAAGAAGAAGACATGTTTGTTGCGAAAATTCATCAATCCTTATTCGACAACTTATTTGAGGAGCATGTTCGAATGTTTTAAAGTATGCTTAACTTGATAGGGCTGAGGGCAGAAAATGAACATGCAATCGCTCCCAGTTTTAATGGAAACCGATACACAGGGTGGTTCACGGTCGATGGCGTAATAGACGTTTAAGGAGAACGCGATGCACCATCTATCTTCAAATTTGTACAATGAAGTCATCGTATATGCTCTATCGGCTTAAAATATTTTCAGCAATGCGAGGTTGCCGCTTATATCGAAAGGTAGAAACAACTATGATATTTTAAATTAGACCCTGTATATTAGATGTGTAAATGGTGGTCTTTACATTAACCGGCAACAACACGCAACACGACCGGCGTTATTGGCAGGAATTATCGAGAAAAAATTGTGTTGTGTCGTTGCTGGACCGTTGGGTGTTTGATAGTGTGAATCAGGGGTAATACGCAATCAACCATGTGTCACCCTGTATAGTTAGACAAACAGCCCAATGATCATAATAGACATACAAATATATTCACCAAATTGGAATCAGTTTCTCTAAGGGGTTATAGAGTTTACTTGGAAGGAAAGGAAAACTGCTTTACAAATGCTTTGAGTTGATTCAGATCGTAGAAGACACCTTGAAAGTGCTGTTTCAACTTTGCTACGTTGCTATTAAACAGTGTTCTTAAATGCTGAAATATTATTAGCAAAACTTTAAATCCAGTTTAACATTACAAAAAAAAATATTTACCTCAACTTGAACCTCGAATTCGATAAACACCTGCCTCCGGCCATTATATTGTTATTGTCGGAAACTATGGAAACTATTGTTAAGAGAGCAGGTAGAAAAAGTCTCCGTTTTGGAGACTCTTGACAGTTTAGAGAAGTTTCAGTTTGATTTAACAAAAAGACAAGTTGTAAGTTGTAACGAACCAAATCTGTTTAAAATAGATTGATCAGTATTGGAAAACCCCGGAACCAGTTTCTTTGGAAATAGAACCGTCGTAGCGCAAATAGCGGGTAGCCTTTTGTGAGCGCGACAGTTATATTCCCAATCAATCGTAAGTACTCCTAGATTTTCGTGGGGAGTTTGTAAATTCCTGTTATGGAATGCTTGTTTAGTTATTGTACTTTAGCAGTTTTCCTTGCCAGCACCGACCGTGATGATCTCGTGAAAATTACATTGCGAAGTACGTGAATGTCACCAATGCCGCCACGTTCTATCGACGTGATTTTGGAACTATTTTGACTACTCCTAATACTATCTATTATAAGTGGTTCCGCAGTTTCAATGTATTTTGAGTAACTGTACTACACGATTAACATAGAAAATTGCCTGGAAATATTAAGGGCAATAAAGCAACATAGGCGTATTAAAAAACAAGCATTTATTGAAAATATTGCACAGTAGTTGTAAACAGGAGCAATCAGTAAAACATAATTTTAATAAAATAAGCAATACATCATAATATTTAAAAGTACAAAACAAAGACAAGTCGTAAAAATTGAAAACATCAAACATTACAAACGACTATGGGTATTTCTTGAATATATTGTTGCAGTTTGAGAAATTAGGTCTAGATATACATACAGGGTGATACAAAACGGGCGCGATTTTTGGCATAATTTTATCCGTATATGGTCCAATACTTCGCATATATAATAACAATTAGCATCTTTGTATATACCACTGGGAAGCAATTACCACATCCTGCAAACAAAGACTTGAGCTTAAAAGAATCAAGTTGCTATATTTCTTGAACCAATTTTCCATCATCAAATGTTAACACCACAAGCGAAATATTATGTTATTATAACTTTGAGCAAAATTTAATTTAATATTTTTGTCACTGAGAGATGGACACTTTCTTAGTTTGACTACAAGACATACATTTGACAAGGCTCTCTGCTAATTACTTCAAACCTGAACAGATTATGATCTGGCCTTCTCAACTTACCTTGTTTTCTATGTTGTATGTTAAGTATGGTACCCGAAGAAAGCTAAATGTTTGAACATGGATTGCACACTCCTCTCACGATTAATGGAGTGTTTTGTTCAGTAAAAGTTTTGTCAAAGTTCAATTCTGGATGAATTGGTTAAATGTTTCTAAGGTGAAGGAGCAATTAATGAATCGACTATCTAATAATTCGTCTGCTAAGTTTTTCAACTTAGTAGAGTAACTAACCATTTGCACTAGTTGACGAAAAATAATTTCGTTAAAATCTTACTATTTCACGGCAGAAACGTCCGTGTGGGAAACAGCAGTACAAGAAAGTTGTGGCCTCGCCTTTAGCATTTCATTCAGTTTGGAGAGTTCGTTGTCAACGGTTGTTTCCTATAAAAAAAAAGCTTTAGTCTGGGAGTTATTTGCTTTTTTGGCTAGTTTAAATACGATAATTTAAACCATTCAATTTTATCACCAGGATAATGTCATTAATTAACTTGCCTTTGTGTCTTCCTCCGGAGAATCCGCATCAGGGTTATATACCTCTTCCTCCTACAAAAAAATTACTTCTGAACTATTTTGTTTGCTTTTCGATAGGCTAATAAATAATTTAATGCTTTGAAACCGCATATAAAACTGTGGTCCTCAACTCATATTACAAATTACGCTAACAAAAATATTGCGTTTTGGTAAAAATGTCTGAAACTTGGCACGCTGTAGCTCGAAAAGTAATAAGTTTCGGATATGACAAATTTTCCTAAATCCCAATATTTTTGCTCTTAGGTTTCATAAGATTTACCTTCAAGAGCATTCTATTACCAAACTTGAAAACGCATTGGCAAATTGACTTTAGTTAAAATATGACCAGTAAAAGAACTGAAGAGCCCAACTAACCCAAACATATCGATTTTATTGAGACATCGACGGAAAGGTTAACTGGCCAATCCAATGACGAGAGTCTAGAGGTTCTAGAAACATGGTTATTGAAAATCGGAAAATCGTCTTGCCCAACTGTTCAAGAACAAAGTCCAAGAAGTAACATGGAAATGCCCCAAAAACAACTGTAAAGCCTTGGCCAACGAAGCAGGAGAAACCATCATTGACGCTGAGAAAAAGAAGTGGACCTGGAAAATATATCTAGAGAATCTATTCCATGATATAGGCAAACAAGAATCACCAATTGTAGCAGAGGGAACGGAAATCAGACGAGGTGAGAGCCGCCATTTCGGAAATGAAGCCACGGTAAGCAACTGATCTGGACTTGATAAAGTTACTGAACGGAGATAAAATCAAATGGCTGACTTGAATATAAATTCCAGCGGATGGGTGCATTCAGCATTTACCACACTTCTCAAAAGAGCAAGTGCCAAAAAATGAGCTGATTTTAGAACAATAAGTTTGATGAGTCATCTCTTAAAACTGTCCGAACAGATCTTTCGATAATACACAAAAGAATATATAGACTTTGTGAGAAACAGATTTCACAATCAGTTTGTGTTTTTGGACGCCGTTGGCACAAGAGAGGCTCTATTTGGTGTTTCAGAGATGTAAGGATTTCAGCTGTGATGTACACTTAGGAACAAAATTAGCGCACCACCTATACATTTTCGAATAAAGCAGTTTTGCCCCAAGTGGGCTGGTAAATAACGTAGCCATAATAACAGTATACAGTACCAATTGTTTTTCGTCGCTTTCTGTTTATTCCAATGCGAGTTTCTACTGGTTTGCATGTGCATCCCTTTCACCACCTTTATGAAGAGGAATAATGATCGCAGTTTTGAGGCATTCGAGAAAAACTCGATTATCCATGGTACATAAAGACTTACTTTTTATGCTTTGCATCACCTGTAGCAGCTCAACAACACGATCTACAGGACTTAGGAAGAAACTATCAGCGATTTGCTTAGAAGGAGGAAGAAACGAAAGAGGGTCGAATGCTCGCAAAATACTAAAAGTAACACTTTTGCTAATGTTGATGAAAAAATATTTAACTCATTTGGACTTGGAACATCCGAGTCAACGAGCCTTCCCTCAACTCAGGAACAATAGACCAGGTTTTCCTGGAAACATTCTTGGCACTTGTCAAACGATTTTGATAACATAGTTTCTTAGCTGACTTAATTACTTTTAGATAGATTTTTCTATAATTTGAAATTAATTCGAGAAGTTGAGTGGAGTGAGTCGACTTTTTTATATGTATGAGCGAGCGCATATTTTTCGCAGAGGTGCGTAAACCCTTCGTAATCCAATGTTTATGGCGTTTAGGTTTAATGGACCTAAACGGAAAGACCTCATTGAAAGCTATAGCAGCAGCTAAGCAGATAGCCTGTTTATCAGAGGTTATTATCGTTATCACACTGCGTGCACTGCTATCACCATTCTCCGCGGGGCGGCAGCCAATAGACCCTCCAAGCCCGGACCGACGCTTTCCCTTGCCCCATCGGTGGGAAGCCGACGGTCCTCCACAACCCTCCGAGAAACAGCGGACTTCGTCGACCATTCAACCCGGGTTTCTCGGAGTCTTTGTACTGGTTGAATAAACGAAAGTATCGGACAAAATCCGACGACTTCAGGCCTTCCTTTACGTGGTGCACAACATTGGTGGCAGTAAATCCAACCGGGAGATGCCTAACGACCACATGCTGCCATTTGCGGGTACTGCCACAAACTTTAGGAGGCAAATCAGTTGCCTCCTGAAAGCGTCCCATCATTTTAAGTTAAAGTTTATTTTAAGTTTTGCCATCCCTTAAACCTTCCATACCCATTTTGAGATCAGCAGACAAGGAGTCGTGGACCTGAATAATGATATTGTCCTAATTATTGCCGAGCAGCACAGAGGATATACTGAATAACTTCTGCTCTATATCCCTCATTGACCTCAGGCTTACAGGTGGTAAATAGCTCAGTTATTCTGCGGATATCATCCAGCTTGCATCCAGGATACCCCATTTAGACTTGATGCTCAACAGTATGTCGTACATCTCCGAAACTGTTGGCACACTGGACGACAGCTTGGAAATCTGGTTTGCCAGCGAATCGATGATCCCTTGAAGTACCTGATTTTTCGATAAGTTTGTTACCTTATCGTTGAGGTACCTGAGGTTTGGAGGAATGAGCTTGCAGAGGCGCAACAGGTATTGACGTAATAATAATTGGGCAGATTCCCTTGAAAATTGTTGTCATCCCGCTGATCTAATTTTTTACAAATATCTCACTTCTGAATACAATTTTTTTTCTATTTTTCCTGTACCCCCAAAACACCTCAGACACCTTCAGAGGAATGACGCCAATTTTGAATCACCAAAAATAATTCAATAACATTGATATAAAAAGTTTACAACGAACATTTCAAGTTAATATCGAAAGTCTGGAAGCAGACCTGTAAATTAATCTAGAGTGCAGTTTATATAAAAAATAACTTATCTGCAAATATAATTGATTTTGCTCAAAATGATGACTTACCCATACAGATGAAAAATGTATCACTATATTCCTGTGCATCATTCCACCATCGTATATTATTATTAGTGATTTAGTCTGTACTTCGTCAGTGGGTATCCATGTTATCGTTAACAGCATATTAGTATGTTTGGCCAACGCACATTCGTGCCAGTCGAAAGCCACATCTAGACTAGGTGGAAGGTGGCTTTTGATATACAGCTAATTCAAACAAATAAAAAATGGATGAAAATTGCCCTTTGCTGGTTTCCACAAATCTACTAATAGGACATAAACATTATCGAGAATTAATATTTACTAATAATTTTAATTAATAATTAAAATGTTGTAAGTAAATACTAGTATCTAGTAGTATCATATTATTGGACTAGTTTTTTTCAAGGAAGTTTGTCTTCAGAGAAGCAAGGAAAAACGTATTGTTTGACAAGGTTGGTGCAAGCGCGCAAAAACAAGCCATGATACTAAAACTGACAGTTAGTTAGTTTTAGTGTCATGCCGCAAAGCTACTAGTGAGATGACTGACGAAGTTTTGAGACAGCCCGTGACGCACAGTGGTCGTTTTAACTATTTTAGGTGGTATTAAATAGGGCATCCGATATATACTATTTTTAGTTTGGGTTAGTTTGTGTTAGTTAGTATAATTTATTTAGTTTAAATATATTTCACGCCTAATACGAAAATAACAGTTTTATTGTAACATAAAGGTATTTTGTACAGGGTCTTATACATGAAAACGCATATATCAACATAAAAACAAAACATAAATTCGTCTAATATATAGATAGTTCTTTAGACTATAGAGACGATAGTGCTTTAACAAATAATTTAAATGCTTATTTTAAAGAACAAAAAACATTTGACGCCCTATTGTTCGCTGCCGTCACTATGGGATATATCACTATCACTATCGAGATATTCTGAGGCTGCTATTTCTGCTAAATTTGGTTGTTGGGGTAACTTTATTACATCATGGGTTAGTGGTTCTCTATTGGAACGCGTACCTATACATTGTGATAGCGATGACATGATATTGATGGCATTCTAAACATCGTATCCATGCATGAAGTGTTGAGATTCCATAGTCATATAAAGTTTCATTTGGTGTAAGATTTAATATTTAGATGTTTTTAAGTTATTCATAACTTTAGGGGTTGCACCGCATATACCACATGTCTGTGTTGAAAACTCACCAAGTACGCTGAACAGAAATTTGTAACTAATATTTCTGAATAATAGTTGGTTCTATTTCCGATATTTGTTGTTTAATATTGGCAAACACTTGTTTTGTTAATTCGGGCGTTTTATTCTCAAAAATTAGTTTTATTGGTCGGCACCACTGAACTGCTGCTTATACGTAGAATGGCTTACATTGCCGTGGCATCCCCATTTATGTTTAAAACAAAAAATTTTATCTTTGATAATTGGCAAAATATTATTGAATTGATCTTTCGAATTATTGAAAACTGCTTTTTGCGTCTCAATGATTCTGTGAGTTGTATGATTGACAAGTGCTTACAGTTTTACATCTGCAGATATATCTGTAATTACAATAAAATCTGCGTGTGGATAGCATTTTTTGTTGCTTGAAGAAGTACGTTATAACTTGGGAAGATGTTTCTTTATTTAGCACCTCATTGCATTAAAATGTAGGATTTTTTTGTAAAGCGTGAATCAATAAATAAAGCAAGTGCTTATTCTGGAGTGTATTTAACTGGCTCCAAAGGTGACGTTGAAATTGCTTTCTTGATTCTGTAGGGGTTCTCCGGATTTGAAAGCCCTTTAAGAATCTGCGACGCATTTATTTGTCCAGAAGCCTCCAGGCTTCTTTGTGCAGCGAACATCAACTCTTCTGTTGAGTACTTTTGCAAAACCGGTATAAGCTTTTGTATCTTTCGCTTGCTCCCAAGATCCATAAAAAGTTTGCAAAATCTGCCTCTGGTTGAACCAGATTTATTTTGGTCTTCCAAAAAATAATGTTTTTATCCAGCCAGTCAGAATGTCTCTTTTCGAAAACCTTTCGAGTGCGAATGCAGTTTTTCCACATTTTCGAAACAGATCTAATAAGACTATTTACCATTTCTTGTACTGAATCACTTTTGCTGTCATCTTTATTATCTTCTAAATGGAGCTTATTTAAAACATAAATCAAAACAGCAGCATTCTTTTCTTGTAATAAGTTTTTTCCAGCCGAAACATTAAACATATCGCTTTTCCGAATTGACATCGTTCCAAAAAAAATACAAATTCTTCGATATAGGCACTACTTGGCACAGAAATTTCATTTGAAATTTTTATTTTCATTGATTGAAACTTTAGAAAATGTACTAACAAAAAAAAATGTTTTCAAGATAAACATGCCCAAACATCGAAATTTGCAACTTTACCTATTTTTTTTTTCAATAAGTAATTATCAGTAATGCTGCTTTCTTTATTTTTTTTAAAAGCTTTTACAAGTATCAGAAAATAACGGTAATACAAAGATGTAAAGTACTTACCCAACTCTTTAAGAGGGAAAAATCTGAATTACACAAAACGGATGACAAACCATAATAACCATAAACACCGCAATAATCAATCGAACTTAGGAAATAAATAGCAACTATTTCAAGTAAGAACACAATTTGAATATTGGTGTCACTTTGGTGGCCAAAAACTTAGTAACCTAATACAATAAAATAAAAAAAAACATAAGCATTTTATTAGACGGAATGTTATTTTTAAGACAGAGCCAAAAATAGTGGTTTTTTTGCTGCCTTTTTTAATTAATTATTACTTCCTAAATAAAATAAAACGACCTCTGTGCGACGGGTTTGGAATAGGAAAAGTTGCGGAATTTAAACGCAAGTTTGAGTATTTGCTAACGGCTATCTAATTGCGCAATTGGCATGAACTAAGGCTTGCTCTTAAATGTGCGCAACACTATAATTATGTCAAAAATTTATAAAATTTAGCAATGTTATGAGAAACATGAGAAGCATAAAAATCTACGGACTGTGCGAAGTTTGCCTCACGCATCTACCAAAATTAGGCACGAACAAACATGATATGTTTTCATGTTTCCTAGATCTAAAGAATTAAAACGAATTGTTACGAACTACATTGCTACCATTCACCTTTATTATCGAGCTGTCATTTGGGAATCAAACGTTCTTCTAAACATGATACGAGGGCCATTTAATAAGTCAGCGACATTTTGAACAAAGGAAATTTTTCTCGGCCAAAAAACGTTTTGGTTCTCAACATAATTTCATTTTAACTCGATACACTTAGTCCAGCGCCTTTCCAATTTTTTTATCCCTTCCAAATAATATAATTTCTCAAAGTCCTCAAAATATGCGTTTGTTTCAATGATGACCTCTTCATTGGACGCAAATCGCTTACCGTCCAGCGATATCTTCAGGTTTAGAAACAGGAAATAGTCGCAGGGTGCTATATCTGGGGAATATGCTGGGTGAATTAGCAGTTCGTAGACTAATTCGTGGATTTTTGCCATGGCGACTACACACGTGTGCATCCGTGCATTGCGCTGATGAAACAGAACTTTTTTTCGCAACATGCGGCTGTTTTGTCTTCAAGGCAACATCGAATCTGTCTGAAGAACTGCGGCCATCACCTTGTTGGCCGACAGATCCATTTTGACCTTCTATGGTGCACATTCACCTGAGGAAACCCAATGTTTTGAATGTTCTTTGGTATCTGGTGTGTTGTGATGGATCCACGTTTCGTCAACGGTTGCGAAACGCAAAAACTCATTCAAATTGCGATGGACTAGCGATTTCCGCTTCACGACGTTCATGTGAAATGTCACCCGGGAGCGCTTATGGTTGCTTCTTCATATCCAAATATTCATGGAAAACGTGATCAGACTCAGCCACCTCACGTATATTTATTATCCGGTCGTCCAGTATCGTTCCATCGATTTTATCGACCATTTATGGCGTACCAACCTCTGTTGGACGTCCGAACGTTCTGCGTCATTTGTGCTGGTACGACTTCAACGAAAGTCAGTAAGCCACTTCTTAACCATTGAAATTGATGGTACAGAGTCCCCATGGTATGTATCAAGCTTTTTCTCCGTTTCTTTACTTGTTTTTTGACGTAAAGATAATGCTTCATCAGCACTCGAAATTTACTTTTCTCCATTTTCGACGAAATTGGTGAAGTCATCGCCTGTCAATGATTGTTAAACACGAACTAAATGACGTAGCGTGCTCACAATTTCACAGCAGTCTACTAACAGACCACAGTTGACGGGAGTAGTGTTGAATTTAATGTTACTGCGCGGAAATTAAAAAAAATTACCGACTTATCAAACTACACTCTTATTTATCCAACTGACTGACATAAAGTCACTGCTTTGTTCACTAAATTGACACATTAATTCTGACGCTGCAAATATTTTCCGAATAATGCATACAAATGTTTACTTTCATTCGTGAAACTATTCCCTATTTTTCAAGTTCAGCTTTACAGTATTTAGTACATAATTTAAGAAAGGGTAATGGATTTGCAGGTGTTATCAAACGGTTCACGGCAAAATTTTAGATACGTGTCTGCCAATATTCCAGTTGTTTAGGAAAATTATGCAAGTGCTTTTATTTGTACTCTCCCAACATACCTTCGGACAACACCTCCATAGTAATGAAACCAATATTAAATCATCTTGAATTTTTACTCTTCATGGAAATCATAAGGAAATATATTACTAGGTAGCAGCATATATTGGAAATAATGCACTGAAGGAAAACATTGTCATATACATATGCGTTACTTACATATCTGTCAGAACCAGTCGGATTTTGAATTAATAAGCGTTGGACCGCTATAGAACCAATAGGAATAGCCTCAAACTCCAATGTTGGCCTGGGACTAAATGGTGCAATCGACACAACTGCCCTGACGGGCTGGCCGTCGATAATTGACTCAGCCGTTTTTGGATCCTGCATATGGATATTGTAAAATACTCCGTAGCTGTAGTGTCAGTCTTAATTATTATTATTATTATTAAATTAATTTAAGTTAAATAACATTTCATATGTTTACATGCTTACATCAAGAAAATTCTTAAAAAACGTTTTTAAGGAGAGAGCAATCTTGTCTGTACAGGGTGGTTTACGTGGAACGTGTATTGCAAAATTTCCAAGTTGCACTTGTTTTAGAAATTCCAAATTTTGGATGCGGCCATGCTCAAACCGTGTAAAATTAATTTGGTCCTCCAGCTATACTGGCCGTCGAAAAAGTTATAATCGCACTTGAAATGCTTACTCCAAATTTCTTTAGCATGATTGATTGGCCTTCCAATTGCGAGTTTGGGCAACAATTACGAGTTTGAGAATTTTTGGTAACTTATTTCTTATGATTTTCGATATACACGTTTATAAATATATATGCCAATTCCGATATTTTAATTGATCGTGCATGATATTGTAAAGACAACAAGGTTTGATTCGCCATGATAACAAGAATTATTGAAGGCGCATAAAGTTATTTTGACATTTGTGTTCATTTGTTAAAAAGTAACGCCTCAAAACTAAAGCAACTTTTAAATAATTTGTTCGAAAAGCCGGTTTTGCTGAGAAAGGTATCAAAGAATAGTGTGAAGTTTGGTTTTTAGTTTTTCGATCATAGCCAATGGTAAATTCGTCATGCCAAGAGGAATTTAAATTTCAAAAGACTTGAAAGAAAGAATTGTAAATGAATTCATAGAAAGTGCTTAACAAGCGAATGTTTCAAGACCAGTCTGTGTTACCCCGGTACACTTTATCTAACATAATTTTATCCTATTATAAGAAGGGAAATTTACACAAGTTACCAAAATCGGAAAGCGAAAAACACCACAGTATTGACACAAATAAATAAACAATTATAAATTGATAATTAAATAATAATAATTGTTATATTTTCTCTATGGTAGGTAGTCAACCGAAAGTCCAAGCTAAATCACCGGGTTACATTTTACCCTTTTTATAGCATTTGGATAGGCTGCCTATAAACGTTTTTTTCCCATATTTACAGAGCAAATAAGTATTTTGTTCGGTCGCTTTCTTCCGATTAACCCAAGCATCTAAATAGACAGCTATTTGTTTATTTAACCCTAAGTTTCTTGGATTCTGATCGAAAATAGGACCGGATTTGTGTAACACATTAGGAAACACACAAGGAAAAACATAATAAAATATTCAAATAAGTGGGTGATTCTGATAAGAATAATACGGCCTCAAATTCCTCTTTAGCCTTCAAACTGCTCACAGTTGTTTCTAATTTGTTACCTGAAATCTAATGCAGACCACACCAGATAATAATTTGATCAAACGACAGAAAAAGGTGCATTTTAGGCAACTAAAGGATTCTCAATTTCAATAAAGTGTTTTGACAATAGCAAATTAAAGTCGTTGCGTTTGAAACTCTTAAGTCAAAAAAAAATAATTGCGACTCATTAAGTTAGAGCAAATATAAAGGAATCGATTCCTATAAGCGGCTAGCTGTCTAAAATGCGTGTCTGTTTTTTCTACTTATTTTTAATATTCAAATGATATACTTTGCAATTTTTTAATCGGGAATAATGATGGTTGGCTTATGATTCGTATATTCGCAAATGATTCGTTTTTGAGATACGGGGTGTTAAAGTTTTTCTTAATAACGGACGATGGATTTATTGCTCTGATACGGATCGAGATAGGGAAATAAAATAAAATTTAAGAGATACTCATTGCGTATTTATTGGCATGCATCTAAGAATCATATGTTCAACATTGCCGCTCACAGAGGGCATCATCTGATTTTTTTATATGAACAAATTGTGTTACTTTTATATTTCAAGCTAAAAATCATTTTTGACAAAAACTACTTAATGTGTATTTTTCGTTTATTGATACATTCAGCCCATTCATGTTAAGTGATACATTCAGCCCTGTGCTGTATCCTTTACTTTAACTTTAACGTGCATGTTATCCGTCAAACACGTTATGTGGCTCGAACTAGTGTGTTATATCTGTGATACAGTTATATTAGGTATAACAGGCGCACGCTATCGTCGAACGTTATAGTTAGAAATAGCGCTTCAGAATAACATCATCAAATCACCTGCCGCTTTCGAACCTAACATGAGGAATAACTCTGAGGAATAAATAAAACAATTGTGTTTAATCAGAGCGTAGTTTTGTGTTTTAGATGTAATTTGATTTTAATTTAAAACAAAAATACATATGTCTTTTGGTGGTCTTATAAGGTTAGCTTTATTAGAACAGAAGGAAGCGGGTGTGTACACACTGAAGAAAATGCAATCAAAGGGGATGCAAACTCGTATTATAGTGTGTATAATCGGTATAATCGGGGCTGAAGTTTAGAAGAACTAACCCAAACTAAACTTCAACCCCGATTATACACACTATAATACAAGTTTGCATCCCCTTTGATCAATTGGTCAACGGTTTTGAAAATGAACTTTATTTTCCTCCACAAACTCTAATAAATGCTTTGCGACTTGTATTTTTTCCTCTTCTGTGGATACTCCATTGAAAGGGTTTGAGACATAGGTCAAGAACATTAACGAACAAAATTGAAAATTCTCTCTCTCTCTCTCTAATGGATTATTCGTATAAGAGTATCTCACTTTATACATCCAATATTGTTTTCCTTTTCATCGTTTGTTGGATAACTGGGTCGGGAAGGCATACGTTAACTAATAGTTAGAGCATAGCTCGGTTGTGTTGCTGCGCTATCGAAAATGTTATCCTGAACTGTTAAGTCGCCATCACGTATGGCCGTTAAAAATAGCATTTATGATACAGCACAGGGCTGAACGACTTAAAAATTCCTTGATTTTGAAATAGTTATAAATTTGTGCACCCTTAAAAAGCGCATTTAAAATTCAAAATTTGTTTCATTATTTCCAATATCAGGTATCAGAATCACATGGATTTATCATGACATTATTCTTATACGGCGCGCACGTGGTCAAAATCTTAATAACAATTGAACTTGTCATCTAATTAATCAGTCTATTAGGCTGGAGCCATTGACACCAATTGAGCTTAGAAAAATTAGTTTTCCAAACATCTTAAAATCAAACTAATCAGTCTGACTAACTACATTTTTGTCGAGGGTTGTACACTTCTCTAAATTGATAAAAACTTTATTGCACCTGCGTAATCGATAAAATCGTTGACCACGACATTTTGAGATCAATCATACAGGGTGATCCAACATTGGCGTCATTCCTTTTAAATGCTAAAATGGGCTCACTTATAGAGTACGAGAAAATATGGAAAAAAGATTTTTCGATAATTTCTAGAAGGTAGTAACGGTTATTTTTCAATTTTTAGGTTTCAACGATCCAGTTTTGCTCTGTTAATAGGTTTCAAAATGCGGTTCCGAAAGGAACATGTTACTTTATAAATTTTTCATTAAGAATGCAGAATGATGATGATAGTAGAAATAGTAGATAAGTTCTATATTGTTGAGGCGGATTTATTTTTTTACAAACTGCTTGTTCGATATTTCGCCTCAAAAATGTTTGTCTTTAAGAAAGACAGAATTTCCTCACGTCTTTTATACCTCCAGAGGAATGACGCCAATTTTGAATCACTCTGTATAGGCACTCTCTTTTTCGAAGCCGAATCAAACACTATTAAAAACCCTTTACTAATTAATATTGGAATTCTCCTCAACATTTTAAACAAAAATCGCAAATCACATTACATGCTGAAATTTACCCGTTTTGGAGATATCGAGTTGTTAAAATTATTTTGCTGAAATTCGCTAAATTTTTAGATTTAGTATTTTAAATTTTGCTCAAACAGGAATGGTGATAGAAAATAGAAGACATTTAGAAAGGAAATAGTACTATTGCTTCCCAGGATTAAATTGAAGCTTTATTTTAAAACTGTAAGCAGTACCTAATCATGATCAGCTAGCGACTTGCAAGTCGAACTGAACTAGATCTACTCATTAATTTAGAAGTATATTCCGAGGAATAACGGCAATTTCATGACTTATTCTATCTTGCAACTCTTCAATATTGTGTGGCTTATTTTTGTAAACGGCATTTTTAATATGACCGCTCAGAAAAAAATGAAGTAGGGTCAAATCGGTAAACCGAGCTGGCCTTGGTCTCCTGCGACCAACTCATTTTTCAGGAAATGTTTCATTGAGATTCACAGAGAGTTTGTAATTTTCGCTCAAAATAATTTTGTCCTTATTCATTAATATTTCAATACGCTCAGTTCTACGTAAGCGTGCAATTCTAAAGCTCAAATAATTCACAATAATTCACACAAAACAAATTTTTGACATTGGTGTCAATTAGAGATTGAGTGTTTAGAACAAAAGAATGACTCGACGTTGTAATAGTGACCTAAACTTTCTAAGATAACTTGATCAATACTGTATTTATATTTGATTTAATAATTTGGCACATTACATCAAAACATAATATATACATAGTGTTATACGATTTTTGTTTAGAACATGGATAAGAATTAAAATATTAAATAAAATACGGGGTGTTGCATTACAAAAAAGAAAACATTGCGTTGTTGTGCCTTTTTGACTAATCATGTCTTGACTTGAAAAGACCCTAGAATTTTTGTATCAGTAGTTTTATTTTAGGAATCATAGTTTTGGAAATAGTTCACCGTTTTCATCAATAAAAGCGACCCTGTATATTTGTCAGTAGTTATTTTCGTTTCCAATATATGGACTTTAAAGCGTTCTAATATCTCGAAATGAAAAATACCTACGATTTTGCTGTTCACATTATGTATTTGTTCAAAATCACTTGCACACTGCGAACTTAAAAAAACAAAATCTAGTTCTTCTGTTGTGGGAATAGCTGCATTCACCGAATCGTTTTCACGGAACACAATAATTACGAAATTCAATAAGTGAAATTTGAACAATGATTACAGCGGGGTTGTAGAGAACTGCATAAAGCTCACCAACAATTTTTTTGCCACCAAGATTAATATATTCGCAACACCAACACTAAATTTTAAAATAACGCAACAATATAAATCGGACAATAAAATAATGACTCAGCCCGCTAACATTGTTACAATTGCTTTTTTTAAGCACACCTGCAATTCATAAACTACATATTATCTTTATAGGTTGGTAAACTTAAATGTCGTATAAGGCGGAACAAAATAAGTAATTGTAACCAAAACTTTTGTTTCCCTGGCAAAATTTCAAACGCAATATATCGTATTGCAGTTTGAAATATCAAACAAAGTTTTTCTTTGTGCACACAAAATGCGAAGTGAGTTAACGAGTTATGTTGGTTATTTAACTTGTTTTTGATGAAATATGCTCAATTAGTAGAATCTGGTCAATTTTTATGATTTATAAACTTACTATAAGCTTGCTTTTAACTAGTATATAACTAGAGCTGATGACTAGTAGCGTGATTTCAAGAATTTAATTTAAACGCTAGACAATAAAATTGCTTTTTTTTGGGTTAGTTAACTCAAATCAATTTCAACTACAGGTAAACATCTATTGTGCCAAAACAATATACTGGATTTATTCGATTTTGCTTCGAAAATCATTAATACTAAATACATTTAAATATTCTTTTCAAAAAAATCAGTACCGTCCAGTTTTAGAATCGGTCTTTAAAATTTAAGCACTTTCAAATATTCATTGAGTTATTAATTTATACCGATTTATTATTGCCTTCACACTAACACAGGCAAGATTGGGCCTGATCAATATCATATTTTCATAAAAAGTTTATATTTACCTGACCCGGTCGGGGATTTAATGCCGATAACGCAGTTCCGATAAAATTGGGTAACATTACTGTACGCAGCTAGACCGCAAACATGGATTTCAACATAAAATGTAAACAGTTAACACAATAATTTCCGAATTTTTTAAACTTTTTGAAACAAATTTTTTCCAACATTCAACTGATCTACTTGCTGAAGGTTTAAAGATGACTGAATTAAATATTGTAAAATTCGATTAAAAACGCAAAGGTCTATGAATAAGCTACTAAATTCAACACATTCTTCACTGGATAAGGCCTGCAATACATGAATAAAGGTAAGTCGAACTCGCTGGTTCATACCGACAACCATCTGTTCAAAACTTCGTATTTATGTGCGTCATATGTTATATTAAATGCCCGCAATTTTTGTACCCTTACTTTGGGCTAATTTTGCAGTCTGCTAATTGAAGTTTAATTGTTGATAACTGTTTAATTTTATATCTAACAAAACGGTTAAAATATTTGTTCTTAATTAAAAATTTATTTCATTTCGTTGTCATTATCCTGAAAGTGGCCCGATTTGCATTGCCACACATTCTCATATCACATCAGTATCTCATATCGAGTTGAAATCTATTGTAGAATTTCTATTGACTGAAAGTGTCCAATGCGACTTCAACCAAACTATCCAGATTGGAGAAATTCGATGCAATTTATGAAATTGAGATGTGTAAACCCCTGTTTACTGACAGCGACTTAAGAATTGAGCACGAATATATCAAAAGATACAAACAATAATAAGAAAAATATTTCTAGGCTTTAAACACTGAAGCATATACTTAACGTATGACGCATATATGAAAAGTCTCCAAATCTATTATTAACAGACAGAGGCCCGAGTCTGCCGCTAATGGTACACAACGGTCAATCATAGCGTTAAATATGCTTCTGAATCTATTTTTAAGCTAATACTAGCACTGATCTCACCTCCAAGTCTCAGTCGAGTTTTGATTGATCAAACATCGATCAAAAATTTGATCTTTTATTGTAGAAGCTTTTATTGTAGAAGTGTCTTACTTGGCTAGTTCTGACAATCTTCTGCGTTTCGAACAAATTCGTTCTTACCTCTAATAGACTAGTTTTTCTCTGGTTCAAGTCAGTAAAATGTAGACATTTCTGAGTAATTTGACAATGCTTTAAGACAAAATAAAATTATGCGTATTTCTGATACGTGGCCGCAACCACAGTGAGGTCTCAATTCCTGAAACTCAAATGTTTCAATGTGTTTCTCGTACTCTAAGTGAGGCCCTATTACCTCTAAAAACTAATGACGCCAATTTTGAATCACCCTGTATATGTTTGTGTGTAAATTTATTGTAATTTCATGGCGAAACGAGTATGTCCGAACAGTTGCTGGATATTTGCGATTAATTGTAATCAAATGCTAAAACAGGTGGAAAAACTGAAATTACAATTCTTTCAACTAAATAAAATGGCATAACTTTTCGCCAGAATCCGCTGCACCAATACCTTTTCAAAAATCGGTTTTAAAAGCAGAAATGCAGGTGTTACGTGTGGTCTCAAATGCCAAATGGCACCGAAAATGTAGCCATAATCCAAATGTCATGCTGGGAATGATGAATAATAATTATTCAAATAGAGAAATGACGAAAATGCATTACACCTGTGGTCTCGCGGGCAGCAATGTAAAGCAAGTCAGGAGTATACAGGGTGGTCTTTTTATCTTGAAAGGCCTAAATATTTCGGAAACAAGTGATCCGAGGACAAAATGTTGCAAATAAGAAGTTAATATCTGGGAGGGGGAAGTTGTCAGCAAAACAACGCCTACTTCGACCTTGTAGGCTAGGCAGGGGTCAACTTGCGAATTTCAAATAGTAACCAAAACATTTTATTGAAGATTCGAATAGTACGTCAAAAACTGAGAATAATTTGTCAAACATTTTCTTCGATTTTGGCAGGTGGCGCTGTAATCCATAAATTATCAATTTTTTGCTTTAGCAAAAAAAAATCTGCTGAACTATTATTTGATTGAAACGCTTAAAATTTTAGTGTGACCAATAGCACGTTTGATGATAAAAATCAAATATGCACCTCCAAATCAACAAAACATCTATTTGTTTATTGAAACTATATCAATTAAATAACAGATAGTTTAGCAGATCTAAAGCAAAAAAAATGGTAATTGATGGATTACAGCGCCACTTGTCAAAATCGAAGAAAATGTTTTAGATAAATCATTTCCAGTTTTTGATGTACTAATCGAATCTTCAATAAAATGTTGTGGTTACCATTTGAAATTCTCAAGTTGACCCCTACCTAGCCTACAAGGTAGAAGTAGGCGTTGTTTTTCTGACACGAATAAACTTCCCCTTCCCGATATTAACTTTTTATTTGAAACATTTTTTCCTCGGATCACTCGTTTCCGAAATATTTAAGCGTTTTAAGTTAAAAAAAGAACCACCCTGTATATCAACAGAGTTATTCCAATTGCGTTCACTGGATTAATACCTTCTTGAATATTCACCTTTGTCTTGCTGAAAATGCTAATTATATGATCAGCAGAAGATACGTCCTAAGTTAAACTTGAAAATGAAAATGATTTGCTAATGATCTTTTTTAATATTTGTCATCAGATGGTTTCGAGAATTTCTTTGAAACATTTATACTATGTATATTACAAAATCAAAGAAATTAATTGCCCGATATATCTCAAAGCGTGCGAATTTTTGTCCGTGGTAGTCCTATAACCAGATTCAAATGCATGTTATATTATCCGTTATATGTACAATTTTAAAACAATCGATTTAAGTCATGCACCCGTGTCAATAAATATGCAAATTTTTCAAAAAACTAAACGCTAAACTTTATTGCAATAAATATTGCTAAATGAAAATCCATTGCCGTCATAAATGTGCATTTTTAGCTCCAGCAATCATTGGTAACTGCTTTTTTTGGGCCATTCTCTCTGCTAAGACGACTTGAAACGACAGTGTTTCCACAATTTTTCTGCTTGGGAATATTCTAATAATATTAGGAAATCAAATGTGGCACATTCTCGACCGACGATGCTTGACCACATTTCAGTGTAATGGGACGCAAAAATTTCCAAACGGTTTGTCCGAGATTACAGAATAATACTAAATAATTGCAGCCAACGTCTTTGTTTTCCAAACCTCTTTAACTCTTTAAGAAGCCTCAAAAATCTTTACTGGATTGTCGTTTTACACGTATGAAACCTCGTATTATCGCAAGAAAAATTATCTGATTAGAAAGAAGATATCTATTGTCATACAGGGTAATTCGAAATTGGTGTCATTCCTTTTAAGGGGTAATAGGGGCTTCCTTATAGAGTACTAGAAAAATATTGACATTGTTTTTTCAATAATTTCTGGAAGATATTAACAGTTGAAAATAGATATCCAACTTTCTCATTATGCATTATTTTGAAATTTTTCCATGTTTAATTACGATCTTTGCTACAAATTACGAAAATTTTTGATATTAAAATAGTTCTCTTCTACAATTTATTGATGAAAAGTCAAAGCGGTAATGATGTTTTTTGCCATAACAATTAGTTACAGATAGATAGTCTGTCAATAATAACTTTGTCAATAATAGCAATAATTTATCTACATGCGACTTACTTTGAAGCTCCTTTCACGAATTTGCGGAGATRCGTTTAGTTCTTGAGAAATGCCATAGTAAGATARTAGAAGTTGTAAGACCTCACGCCAACAAAGGACGACGAGAGTGGTTCGTGGAAGRTAGTGGACGACAATAGATGTTCGAGTTCCAGACAAGTRTTCGGCATACTTGCATCAGAGCCTTCCAWARGTACKCATAGCACAAATACTTTCCCAAGCACAAAATGAATACCGATGAARGGCTACATTCGTACCACGTATGTAAGATGCAYAGAGCACAAGGGCACAATAAACCAATGGATTACTGAACGCTGGTACAAATTGAGCAGGAGTTAATTATCCAAATACGAGAAACTGCTCGATAAAAGTGGATAAGTAGGAGATTACACAGGCACTAACTTGTTTCGAGTTAATGACAAATGCATTTTTATTTATAAACATAAATTCGAGGTGTGTCTAAAATACTGAGAACTAGAGCAAACGTAAAACCTACAATTAATTGCAGCCAGTCACAAACCTATCTTAGCAATAACTAGCTACCCGATTGTAAACTAACTGAGAATGGTGCAAAATACCGAAACTTTTAGAAAATAAGCACGTTGTGAGTTTGAAATAAATAAGTTACTTAATCCCACGAAAATAATTTATTAATTAATGTTAAGCAATTATAATGGATTCTAATTAAAGAAGAGGTGTTAACGAAGGAAAATATTGCTTTCAGCCAACAAATCAATCCATTGGATGTTAATGTATTTTGCCTTTGGGGCAATCGTATAGGTGTGACTGTTTCCACAGTGGAAAGCTACACTCAGCCTTGGCCTATTATATAGTTCAAAGGTGGAAACAGCTTTTACGGATCGCTGTGACTGAGTATCACGCGAAGATTTCATATAATTGATTAGGCCAACCCTTAATCGATTTGAAAGTTCAAATTTGGCTTCACGATGGAAGCTAATAGCGTTTGCGTGTACTTGATAGTTAATTCAATGTTGTTGAATTGCAAATATAATGCTGCACAAAATTTGCCAAACACAGGATTTATAAGTTTCCTTTTACAAGCTGTACGTAAATATACTATTTACTTAAAGGGTGTGCTAGATTAAAATAGAATGAATTAATATATGCCCTTTTTGATTCAGGAAAACATTTTACCTAAGTAATCGCCCCCCGTTGTAATTGAGAAGCTGTTGTTCGTCTCATATATATTTTGCGATCTGACATTACATCGATATACCTATAATTCCTGTCTTAAATCTGGTGTTGACATCCGGTTTGGCAAAGAGATTTTGCTTTGGAGCTTATCGACGCCAAAAATGGTAATGTAAGAGTACAATACAATACACATATGAGAGGTAAACTGCAATAACCTTTGTCCACCTTTATCGCCAAAGTTTATATTTTATGTTAATGTGTGTTTTAGAACTTTTACGTTATGCATTCCAGATTTCGTATATAGATGTAAAATTTTCTGCTCAACTAATTTCCTCAGTTCGAAAATGTGCCTGCTATAAACCATTATTTACAAACAAATGCCGATTTTCAGTTTTACATACATGTGCATATATTATGATGTGTA